GCCATGAGTGTGCCACTGCACTCCATCCTGGGAGACAGAATGAGACCCCTACTCAAACAAAAAAAAAGAAAAAGAAAAAGGCAGGGGGTGGAAGTATATCATGACCAAATTATATTTATCTTAGGAATTAAGGTTAGTTTAACATTTGAAAACCAGCACAATTCACATATTAACAAGTGTAAAGTAGAAGAACCATTTCAGTAGATGCAGAAAACCCGTTTGACAAAATGTGACACCCTTCATAAGTTTAATATTCTACATAAATCAGGAATAGAAGGGATCTTTTCTCATTGTAATAAAGGACATCTGCGTCTACCATAAAATCTATTGCTGACATACTTAATGGTGAAAGACTGAGTGTTTTTTCATGAAGATTGAGAATTAGGTGGGGATGTCTGCTCTCATCTAATGTTCTGTTCAACATTATATTGGTGGCTTTATCTGTGTAATAAAATAATAAGAAATCAAAAGCCATATGGATTAGAAAGGAAAAAGCAAAACTATAAAAAGCTTGATAACATATGTAGAAAACCTTAATCTAGAAAAAAGTTATTAACTACCTTAGCAAGGTTGCATGATTCAAGGTCATTGTACAAAAATTAACTATTTCCATACAGTAAGCAATGAACACTTATAAACTAAGTAAATAATACCATTAATAATGGCTTCGAAGCTGGGCTTGGTGGCTCAACCTGTAATCGCGCGCCTTTGGGAGGCTGAGGTGAGTGGATTGCCTGAGCCTGCGGGTTCGAGACCCGCCTGGGCAGCGAGACTTCATCTCTACAATAAATCAAAAAATCAGCCAGGCGTGGTAGTACATACCTGTAATTCCGGCTACTCGGAAGGCTGAGGTGGAAGGATCGCCGGAGCCCAGCAGGTCGAGGCTGCGGTGGCCGGGAGTGGCCACTGCACTCCAGTCTGGGTGACAGAGTGAGACTCCAACTCAAAAAATAAATAATAATAATGGCTTCGGAATTATGAAATTTTTAGGGATAAATTTAACAAGTTATGTCAATACATGTATGCTGAAAACTACAAAGTAATGAGAGAAATTTGTAGATTTTCTTTTATTTGTTTTTTTGGGTCAGGTTCTCTGTCTCCCAGACTGGAGTGCAGTGGCACAATGACAGCTCACCACAGTGTCAACCTCTTGGGCCTAGGAGAGCCTTCCCTCGCAGCCTCCTTCCTTCCCCTTCAGTCTCTTGAGTAGCTGGGACCACAAGCGTGCACCACACTCAGCTTATTTTTCTTTTTTGTAGAGATAAGGTTTCACTATGTTGCCCAGGCTGCTCTCAAACTCCTGGACTCGAGCAATCCTCCCACCTTGACCTCCCAGAGTGCTGGGATTGCAGGCATGAGCCATCACACCTGGCCAAGAGAAGTTTTTCAAGGCCTAAATAAACTGTTTTTATAGTTGTGAATTAGAAGGCTTGATGTTAATTTATCAGATGTCACCAAGTTGACCTATACATTCAATATCACCCAATCCTATAGCAAAGTTTTTTGTAGAAATTGACAATATGTTTTAAAATTTATATGGAATTACAAAGATCTTTGTATATATTCCAGTCAATTTTGAAGATTTCAGAGGATTTAGTCTACTTGATTTCTAGACTTTTATAAGGCTTCAATAATCAAAATAGTGTGGTATTGGACTTAGAGATTAATGGAACAAATAGAGAATCTAAAAATAGAAATCAACCATGTAATCAGCCATTTTTCAAAAGTGCCAAAATAAATCAATAAGGAAAGGGTAGTCTCTTCAACACATGATGTTGGAACAATTTGATGTCTATATGCAAAATATTGAACCTTGATCTTGACTTCATGAAATATACAAAAATGAACCTGAAATTTTTGTGTTGTTGGATTGTGTCCTCTCCTCCAAATTAATATGTTGAAGTCCTAACCCCTAGTACCTCATAATGTGAACTTTTTTGGAAATGGGGTCATTGAGAGGTAGTTAGTTAGGATAAGGTCATACTGGAGTTTAGCGGGCCCCTAATTCAGTATGACTGGTGTTCTTTAAAGGGGAAATTGGGACACAGACCATATACATGAGAAAGGTAGACATCAGAGTTAAGGAACAGCAAAGATTGCCAACAAACCACCAGAAGCAGGAGAGGAATGAAGCAGATTCTCTCTCTAGGCCCCGGAAGGAGCCAACCCTGTGGACACCTAGAGATTGGACTTGCAGCCTTCAGCACTGTGAAACAATTTTTTGTTGTTCTAGCTGTTCAGTTTTGTGGTGCTTTGTTATGGCACCCTTAGCAAACTAATATAAAAAAACTCATAGACCTAACTGTAAGAGCTAAAACCATAAAACAAGAGGGAGAAAACCTTTGTAACTTTTGGTTAGACCTAGGTTTCATTAAAAAGTTATAAGTGAGGTCAAGGTTAGAGGATTGCCTGAGCCTGTGGGTTCGAGACCAGCCTAGGCAACTTGGCGAGTCCTCATCTCTACAAAAAAAAAGTTATAAGCCAGAAATATAAAAGACAAAATTGATGTTTGGCTACCTCAAAATGTAAAATTATTAGTCTTCAACAGGCACCATTAAGAAAATGAAAAACAAGTCACAGGCTTGAGAACATATTTGTACTTTATATATGTGTGTGTTTATCTGTATATATACCATAATGTATGTATGATTAAGAACTTTTACCCACAATATATTTTTAAAAAACCAAACTTCTGGCTGGGCATAGTGACTCATGCTTGTAATCTCAACACTTTGAGGAGTCCAAGATGGGAGGATACGTTAAAGCCAGGAGTTTGAGACCAGCCTGGGCAACATATTGAGACCCTATTTCAAAAAATAATAATAAAGTCAAAACAAAACAAAACTCTATAAGAACTCTTTCATGAAAAGTCAACCATAAGAAGATAAATAACTTGAATAAAAATTTGGCAAAAGATTTGGACAGATTCTTCACTGAAGAAGAAATACTGATGTCAGATAAGCACATTCATTAAAAGAGCCTCAACCTCATAAGGGAAATACAAATTCAAATTACAAGTTGCCACTTGCCCACTTATTAGAATAATCTATGACAGTTTCAAGTGTTGCTGGGAATGTAGAGCAGTGGGACCTCATTTAATGCTGCTAAGAATATGTAATTGTGACGCTACTTTGGAAGATAGTTTGGCAGTTTTGTGTGAAGCTAAGGATGTACTTACCACAAGAAGCAGCAATCCCATTTTCAAGGTATTTATTCAGAATAATAACATGTCCATAGAGAGATTTGTGCTCAAAGGATCGTTGAAGCTTTATTCATAATAGTGGTGGTCTCAGTGGCTGAGCCTATAATTCCAGCACTTTGGGAGGCTGAGGTGAGTGGATTGCCAGAGCCCGCGGGTTCGAGACCAGCTCTGGCAACTTGGCGAGACCTTGTCTCTACCATAAATCAAAAATTAGCCAGGCGTGGTAGTGTGCACCTGTAGTTCCAGCTACCTGGAAGGCTGAGGCAGAAGGATCGCTGGAGCCCTGCAGGTCGGTGCTGGGATGGCCGTGAATATGCTACTACCCTCCAGCCTGGGTGACAGAGTAAGACTCCAACTCAAAAAAATAATAATAACTGATGGAAACAACCCAATAAATATCCATAACAAATTGTGGTATATTCATTGATGAAATACTAATCGGCAATAAAAATGCATAAATCACTGAAATTACTGATATATACATAGCTTGGATGAATTTTAGAAGCATTATGCCAAGTGAAAGAAGCGTTTATATGAAATTGCTGACAGCAAAAGTGTGGTAACAAAAAAATGGATCCAGGTTGCCAGGGGCTAGAAATGGGGAGGGGCAGGAGGGAACTCTGGAGGGATTGGGTTGCCTTGTTAGGGTTGTAATGGTGGTCACATGACTATACATTTGTCAGCACCTAAAGTTGGTGAAGTTCGTTTTCTATGCATTATGCCTCGACAACGAAAGAACCACAGACAAGCTGAACGTCTCTGTCAAGTGCTATGTCAGGGATATGATGAGATAAATGTGATGTGGGTCCTCCCTCAGAGAACTCAGTCTGCAGACGTGGTCTAGGAAGACTTGCGGTTCTGAGAGGCGAGAGCCCTGGAGAGAAGGACTGAGGCACAGAGGGAGGCTCATTTGGTTAGAGAAGGCCCACCAAGAAACCTTGAGTTTCAATTTGGTGGGTGAGCAGGAGTCAGATGCCTGTTGCAGGCAAGTCTGAAACTCAGTGTTGTGCTTAACAAACCACAAGGAGCCTGATACTGTTGGAGCCCTAGAGCCGGGAGATTTAGGTGGGAGTGGCAGGAGTTAAAGCTGGCAGGTGGGCAGAGGGGCTGAAAGGTGGAGTGTTTCTCACATTTGCTTATCAAGCTCCCATTGCAGAAGAAGCTATGCACTTGAAAGAAACACGCTCCTTGGATGAGACGATCAATATACCTTTTCATTTCTCTCCTTTCCTGTTGGCTTCACACAACCAACAAAAAACTCCTTGCTTTTGGAATTACCTGTTTTGAAACATCGATTGTTCCTGAACAGACCTCAGCTGGATTTGTGTAATTAAGGCTGTGCTTGAGCTTTCACATGTTACAGGAAGGAAATGTGTCTTAATGTTTGAGAAAGGCTTTAATACTAGCACATTACAGCTGTGTGGGAGAACTGCTGTGACTGGCCAGGTGTGGCTTTTGCCTTCAAGGAAATAGCAGTTCCTTTGCACCTGCAGGAAAAAGTACAAATTCTCTCCCACATTACATTTTGGAAAGGAGAAAACCTTTGAAACTGTTTATGACTTATTAGTTCAACTCCATATGTATGAGATTTTTGATCACTCTGTCCTTGGAGTGATGCAGGGACGTGTGTGTGTGTGTGTGTGTGTGTGTGTGTGTGTGTGCGCGTGTGTGTGTGTGTGTGTGTGTGTGTGTGTGTGTGGTGTGTTGGAGGCAGACACATAGAAGGATTTCCAAAAATGAGTGGGACGGCTGATTTTGAGTGCTTGTTCTGAACTTAATGCCTCCTTGTGTTTTGCAGGCGGTGGAGTTCGAAGGCTGGGCTGACACCCTCTTCCTTCTGCAGTTCACCCTCTCCTGTGTGATGGGGTGAGCCTCGGCTTGCTTGTTAGCAGATCGCTTTCTTGGAGACATCGGTTAGAGGCATCAGTTCTAGAGGCCTGCCTCCCGGAATCCCGTTTTGTCTCTTGTGTCAGCTAAGGATCGCTGACCCTCTGAATTCAGGTGGTTTTTAGTCCTTGGGATGATGCTCTCGGGGCTTCTGAACTGAACCCAAAGTCACAAAGAAAAGAAACTGATAACCTGCTATGTGATAAGTGCCATTATATTTTAACATGCGTTTTTTTGTTTATCTCTCCATTGACCATTTGACAGGAATTGCTGTGCCCTTACCCACAAAAAGTAGGCTCAGAACTTAAGCAAATCAGTGTTTGTACAGTCATGGGTGGCAGTGGCAGCGTTCAGACTTGGGGCCATTTGACCCTTCTTCGGCATGTTGTCTTCCTCTCAGAAGAGAGTGTATAGAAAGAGAGGCGGTGTCTGCAAACATCCTTCTTATGCTCACCTCCACATTTCTCTTTTGTTCTCTTGGCCTGTCAGTTCAGTGGCTGCTTGTGACTTGATTTGGCACTCAGTGAGCAGGTGCTTCAGAATGAAGCCCAAGTGGTGCCTTGGCATGAAGTCGGGCTCAGAAGCGTCAGTGCAAACCAGGGAGCTCCATCTGCTGCCTCTTAGTTGTTCAGTGAAACTTTGTTCCCTCTTCAAGTTTTTTTATTTGGTTTTCTTCCAAGTTTAAGGATCTCTCGCCCTCACCCTGGCCCAGCGACACATTGTCCTCGTGGGAGATATGCAGTGGAGTTAGGGTCTGTGAGAGCTGAGCTTTCTGTCTCTGGCTGAGGTGAATGATGGTTTCACTCATAATCATGAGTGCCCCGTATAGATCAGGGTTTTGGTGACACAGCAAGGAAAAACAACCGGTAAGGAAATAGGCATGTGTTTCTCTTTAGCGAGATTTCTTAAAATCTGAAGCTGCAGTGTAAGAAGCAGTGAAGTGGGGAACACTCAGAGTTGGTCAGTGACTAGAATGCGTTAGCATGGTCAAAACTGGTTGTTTCTCTCGGCTACAGATTTTTACAAAGTGAGCACCTGGATCTTACTTGTAACATGCCTCCTTCTTCTTCATTCCAGATTTATCCTGATGTACGCCACAGTGCTGTGCACTCAGTATAACTCTGCTCTTACAACTACAATAGTTGGCTGTATTAAGGTACGTTGAAAAAATTCTGTTGTCTTTTTGGTACCTGTTTTATTTGAAAATTGTTCCTCTAAAATAAGAGTCTGGCCATGACCTTAAGGACCCAAATCCATATTTCCTCATGCCCATTTCGGTAGACTAATTGTGGTGATAGTTTCTGAAACAGTCTTTAAGAATGCAGGGAAGTCATAGTCTCTACTGGCAAACAATTTAGCTCTGAGAAGTGTGAGAAGAAGGAGAAATAGAATTAGGCCTGTTTCTGGGCAGATTGATGGCTTGGCAGTGACAAGCGTGTCCCTTTAGCCCCCAGTGGAAACTGTTCTGTTCTCTGCCTCACTTGAGCTCTGGCTGTTGAGTAGGGAGGGATGGCTGCCAGCGGCCGTCTAGGGAGGGTTCCTGCGCCTGAGCCAAGCCTTAAATAGCCCACTTTTCAATGCTGTGTCTGACATTTCCAGTGATGTCATTTCCTCCTGGTCTGTTTTACTTGAGGGAGACTAATTTGTCTTCAGCCAGGAGAGCCAAGTTGACTTGAATATTGAACTGAAGCTAGTGGCTTGTAGCCTGAGGTCTCTTTCATCTGACTTTGTGATTCTGGCGCTTTAAGATGTAGAGAGAGGTCGGTCTTTGATCACTGGGGGGAAAAGAAGACAGTTGCCTGTGTGACTTCCTTTCTAATGCCCCTTTAGTCTGTAGTGAGAGAAGTGCTGCTAGGATAAGGTGTTACTGCTCTGCTTTCTTTCTGTACCCTCAGTGGAGTGGTGCCCCTCCATTCTCCTTGTAGACTGGGTTGAAACTCCAGAAAGTCTGCGGCTTCAAATCATGGGATTGGAGTGTTTGGTGTGAATGGAATTCTGAATTATTTAATGCTCTAACAAGTCAATTGTGTGAATTCCTCTGGAAAGCTAGAGACGGTGTACATTCAAGAGACTGGGCTGGTTGAGGTAGTTTAGCCCCAGATTAACTCTCAGCCGTGTTTTGGTTTTGCAAAGTGAATGCTTCAAGAGCACAGTGGATGGCTTGCATCTTCAGAAGGAGAGCAGTGTGAACACGAGAGAGAGGGCAGTTGGTACCATGTTTTTAGAGGATAAGGATGATGCAGGAAGGCTGATGTTTAATTTTAATAACTAGACCTATTTGCTTGGAATTTCTTAGTATACTTTCTTTATTACTGTCAGCACAGGATACAAATATGGTCATTCTTCTTTACTTAAAAGTTTATGCTTTTGACATATGTTCCTCTCCATAGTCCAAAAATCCCATGGATGTATTCATTCCAAAGGAATTAATTTTACTTATAAACTCTACAAGGAGGCAGAAACTGAATTGTCTGATTAGTTCGCTCTTTCTCTTGCTGTTCACTGGTTGGAGGATGGCTTGCACCTTTGGACAGATGGGAATCTGCCAATGCTCTTGCAGGGTCAGAGCCTTCCATCAGCTTCCCTTTTAGCTCAGCCATTGTTCCTCACAAGGGGTGTTAAGCCTCCTTCTGTGCTTGAGAATCCCAACCCACAAACCCTTGGGTCAGCATTCCTTGTTTCTCCTTGGGGTGGTGGGAAAATCACTTAGGATAACTAGTTTAAAGAGGAATTCCAAGGCCTACCCCACATGGATTGAATCAGAATCTTAGGATCAAGCCTAGAATCTTTCTGTTTAACAAGGTTTTCAGATGATTCTCAGGTATGCTGAAGTTTGAGAATTACAGTCTTAGTTTTGAGCTATCAGGACTCTTCTGTGCTTTCTGATAAATTCTGTTTGGAGAATGTTTGATGTATTTTTCCAATGTCAAGCCTTGCATAGGTTATCTTAATACATACCTACGATTTTTTTAACTTCTGATATTGAGCAGCATGTGTTGGGTTCTCTGTCTCCTGCCTTTCTGAAGTTCCCTGGGCAGCTTATATAAATTAATCCACCTTTGCTCTGGATCTCTGTATTCAGTGAGAGGTCCTGTTACATACTTTTCTAAGTTGCCTACTGGCCTTGTTTACTGTTACATAATACTTAATTTTATTTTTCCTCTCAAATAATAAGAATATTAGCTCTGAGGTAGCTTGCTGTCTTCATCCTTAGACCTTGAAGAGGCTGACATAATTTTGAATGTTCTCTCAGAGGGCACTTCATTATAAGAATAATTTTGAAGTTTGGTTTTGGCCTTTTGAAAACATCATAGCAATTTACTTTCTGTCTCACAGGCCTAATCTCAGAGAGCCTGGGTACTAAAACTATTTGTGACATTTACAGTTTATGGCAGTTGTAATAGCGGAGAGGGAGGCAGTGACTTATGAATGTAAAAGAAGGGAGATTGGGGAGGAATTGAATAATACACATCAAGCATCCTGTAGGGGCAAAGGGAAAGTTTTTCCTTCACCCTTGGAAGATATGCTGAAAAATTAATTCACAAAAGCTAGATTAATGAGAGAAAGGGCATTCAACTTATTGACATGTACACGGGGAGTAAGTATTACAGAGTAATTAACTACCCAATCCCCAAACAAATGTAGAGGCTTATATACTGTGTTATTTTGAGATTACAGAAAGAATGGGGGCTTGAATCATGAGCCTGTGGAAGGAAGAGAAGAGGTAGTTGAACTAGCCAAGGTGGTCTTTATATGTAGATGAACCTCACAGGTAATAGACCTCAGAGATCTCACTGTGTTGCTCAGGCTGGCCTCAAACCCCTGGTCAAGCAGTCTTTCCTGCCTTGGCTTCCCAAAGTGCTGGGATCATAGGCACGAGCCACCATGCCCGGCTTATTTATTTATTTGGACCTTTAGAGATGTTAGACTCTCAGTTATTAATCTTTGCTAGATGCAAACATGAGAAGACCTGGCTACATTAATGTAGAGGTTTTTTTTTACAGATGTGATTTTTCCCTTCAAAAGACGCTTTTGTAGGGCTACTTCTGTTGACTTTTTTTTTTTCCTTTCAAATTTTGTTTTCATGTGTGTTTGCTGACTCTTGACAGCCATCTTAAAATATGTCAAAGAAATATATTTTGGGGTAAAATATTTTTATTGCCTTCAGTTATCACTTTGAAACTTTAAAAAGCTTTGTAAATATTAAAAGCAAGCTGACGGCTTTGTTGAGATTTGGGCTAGAGTTTGTTAGAGATAGACAAAGGAGTAGAAAAACAAATTGGGATGAACAGAAAAGAATAAAGTTAAATATATTTTTCCGTGTCTTTGTTAGTGAATCTCGTAGTCCTTAGACTAGATTAGTTAAACTATTATGTCTGACTTTAAGAGGTAGCCTTGCAGATGTGCTGTGCCTCTATATATAATGCAGACAAACAGATTTTCAGCAAGAGGTGTTTTTATGGAGACAAGACAAATTTTTATGTGTCATAGAAGTTATTATCTGGAGTAGTCTATAGACTCGTTTTTGCTGGTGTGTATCTGATGTGTCTTCAAATTGCAGTGTCATTCTGACAGATTGTTCTAGATTGTAGTTTGAATCAGGTGTTTAAGTGAATTTCCTGAGCAGTGTAGATATCAGTTAGGCATAAAGGCTGTTTACAGATAAGTTTTGTGATTTTTTTTCCTGTAGTTTATTCAAGCTTATTCTAGTTTTAGTTTGTAGGGCTTTAAGAAAAGCACAATTTTAACTTTTAGTGATTTTAAGTCAGAAGAATGGAAGAAAAATTGAAAAATATTAGTTTGAGGACTTGTAGACAGGAAAGAATTTAGGACATAGTCTAAATTGTCAGCAGTACAAAAAACTCGGAAACAACGGACTAGGCTAGCATCTAGTAGCAGATGCACTATAGTTTTGTTTGTTTTTTAACATAATTGTTTTTTAACATAATTGTGTTTCTCTAGTCTCCCATTTTTACCAAAGGCAAATCATAATAGGATCAATTTATTTGTAAAATCAGTTTGTCTTATTATACATGTGATTATTTGTATATGGTGCAGTAAGAATAGTGATTGGCCATATAGGCTCTTTTTAAATTGGCGTCTTTGTAACTTTTTTATAAGGAATAGTAGATTATTAGACTTTTATAAGGATTATTAGATTAGACTCATTTTTTTTTTTTTTTAATTTGAGTTGGGGTCTCACTCTGTCACCCAGACTGGAGTGCAGTGGCTGCTCCCGGCCACCGCAGCCTCAACCTGCTAGGCTCCGGCGATCCTTCCGCCTCAGCCTTTCAAGTAGCCGGAACTACAGGCATGCGCTACCACACCCGGCTAATTTTTTGATTTATTGTAGAGATGAGGTCTCGCCAAGTTGCCCAGGCGGGTCTCGAACCCGTGGGCTCAAGCAGTCCACTCACCTCGCCTCCAAAGGCACGGGATTACAGGCTGAGCCACTGAGCCCGGCTTAGAGTCATTCTTAATGTTTCAAATTGTTATGTGTCATAGAAGTAACCAACTTTCCTTGGTAAAAGCCTTGCCTTGAGGCTGTTAAAAGTCTGATCTAATATTTCTTATAAGAGTTCCAACAAAGCCAATTTAAAAAGAGCTTATGTGGCCAATCACTATTCTTACTACACTTTATACAAATAATCACAAATATATTAATATAGTACTAGTAATAATGTATATTAAGACATAACAGAATTTAAGAATCTCATACAAGTTTGAAATCTATATTAATAACACACATATAAATGTAACTCGAAGTTAAACATCATTATTTATTTGACAGTGCAAGTCTTTCTTGGACTTCTAGGGGTCCTAATATCTACAAAGTTAGTTTGAGGTTAAAAAGACTGAGTTTAGAATTTTGATTTGGGGGAGTATGTCAGATATCAAAGAATAAAACACTTGTTTAAAATACAGTTCACTAAATAACAGTAATGACTAATATTTAAGTGATTAATTTAGTCTAAGCGATAATTTAAATGTCTTAAAAAGCGAAAACCTTTTATTCTTTGATAGAGTAAACACTCATGAGACCTAATAAAGACACCATGAAACAAACTGAATCTTTCCCTCTCTGCCCTCTGTTTTTTATAGTTTATTTAAAAGGCAAACAAACATTTCTATACTATTTTTTATTGATACTTCATG